GGAAGAAGAGAAAGTGAAATGAAGGTAGAGGAGTTGGAGGAGAAGGAAGAAGAGGGCGTGGTATGATGTGAGGGAGGAGGAGGAGGGGGGTGTGGTGTGGGGGGAGGGATGGATGAAGGACAAGAGAGCATGGCCACACCTTATCATAAATCATCCTTCTCCTCCCTCCACACCCTCCTGTCCTTGCCCTCTCCTCCTCCTTCCTCTGGTCCCGCTCTGCATGTTGATGTAGTCAGAGAAGGAAGAACCCAACAGGTGGTCACCCCCCTTCGTCAGGTGGTTCCTTCAGATAAACAAAATAAAACCTTCAAGTGAAATCGTGAGGTCCTTCCCAATGTTGTGTTGACGAAGGCGTAGTGTACAGATCCCACGTTTCCTCCTTCACCACCACCAGCATCACCACCACCAGGAGAGGTTAGCAAAACTCTCCAACATTCACTAACCGTTATTGGGCTTCACTTTCACTGCCCCGTCTGCCTCGTGCAGTGCCCCCCGAGATGATAGTGGTGTTGGTGGTGTTCCGTGTTACCTGTGAACCGCCTCCTGACACTGCCCGCTCAGGTGACGAAGTGGGAGAGAGCGAGGGTTACCTGTGATAGTTACCTGTGTGAGTTACATGTGAAATTTACCTGGCGTTGGAAAGTACTGTATGTGAGACTTGGTTTACAACTGTGTACTGTTTGCTTTAATGTGTTTACGGTGTATGTGTGAACAATATACTCCTGTAAACATTTCTCTGGTCTTTAATGAACGGTTTTAATACTGACGTCAGCTTGAGCACCTTCTTGTGGAGTCTCTGTATTATAATTATATTCAAGGACAATTTTATTCTCTCGTCCTTGTAACACTTTCACGAAGGTGTTCACGGAGGTTTACCTTGAAGATCACCCTCGAAGAGAACCTTGTAATATATACTTCGGAACGAAACCTCCTCCTCGAAGACGTTCACTTGTACACAGCCTCGAGGTCTTGCTTTAGAAGAGCACCTTTGAAGACCTCTCCTGGACCACCCACCTTCGAGAACATCACCCCCCCCCCTCTCCCACTCACGAGGTCGCCTCACATCCTCGAGGACCTCTCTAGGGAGTCCTGAAGCTTCACACGGGCACCACAGGATGAGCTTCTGGAGTATAAACGCCGCCAACCTCACCTTCAGGAGAGTCCTTGACAACCAGCGTAGAGTGAGTAGCCGAGAGAGTCCCGGGTCGTCTCTCACACCACCCCAGTAGAATATTAATACAAACTTATATATATATATATATATATATATATATATATATATATATATATATATATATATATATATATATATATATATATATATATATATATATATATATATCACAAGGTTGACTCAGGACACCAGACTGAAACATCACAGCTGTCACTACAACACCTGTGTGGAGTGTGACCTGAGACTCGGGTCATGGTGGAACAGATGTTGCATGGTGTACCAGTGAAGGACATGTGTAGAACAGGGTGGAACATAGTGTATTAGTGAAGGACATGAGAAAGTGTGTGTAGGAGAAATTTATTTAAAATGTACAAGAGGTGATGACTGGAAGTTGTTCAAGGATGATGTAATGATGTCTACCTGTCATACCTGTACACACACACACACACACACACACACACACACACACACACACACACACACACACACACACATACACACACACATAGTCAGTTTTGCCTTTTATATAATCCAACATTATTTAGACTTCTTTGTAACACTTCCCACTTGCACTTTACACTGACACCTTACACTTAGCACTCGCACTTTACACTTAACACTAAACAATAACACCTGACACTTGATTTAAACTTAGCAATTTACATTTAACACTTAACACAAACAGCATTTTACACTAACACACTTACACTAATCACTTTACACTTAACATAAGCACTTAACACTAACACACTTACACTTTACACTTACACTTAACACTAACACACTTAAACTTAACACTTACACTAACACACTTACACTTAACACTAGCACACTTACACTGAACACTAACACACTTACACTTTGCACTTAAACTTAACACTAACACACACTTTATCGTCTGGTCTCAACCTCTTATAAGACGTGCTTGGGGCGCTGTCTGGCTCAAGATGTTCCCGGGAATTCCCCCTCTCACCCCCCTCCCCCCTCTAGAAAATTTTCCTAGTCTATGTACGTAGATTTTTTATTCTAGTTTGGGGGGAGGTAATCACTTTTGGGTTTTTCCTTTAATAAGTCGGTGTGTGTGTGTGTGTGTGTGTGTGTGTGTGTGTGTGTGTGTGTGTGTGTGAGGTTAAGGAGTGAGAGAGAGCACATCCACACAAGCTCACCTGGGCATATCCTCTTCAGACCACTAACCACTCAGAGACAGACATGCAGACGACACATTATCACCACCATGCCAACACACACACACACACACACACACTGTTAATGGTCTTGAAGCAGGGAATTATTATCAGGTGAACAGTAAGTGACAAGGTTAACTTTACGAGGGCCGTGGCTTCATTGTCCAGTCTTTTACCAATATTTTAGGAGAAAAGAAGTGAGACTTAATTCGTCCAAAATTCAGTTTCTGTTGATATGGCTGAACAATGTGATTTATTTTTGTTTTCAAGAAATAAATAAAGAAAACAACCCTGGATTTCCATAACATCTGAGTGCCACTTGAAATATTGTAGTGGGAGGATGAATGACCAGTGCCACGGGCCAACACATAGCCTATCATCTGTTGAAAGTGCCACACCCTCCTCCATGGGTGCCAATTGAGTGATTCAAATCGATGTATTAGAAAAAAAAGATACCAGATGTCAGGGGGTGCCAAGGGTCAGGGGGGGTCCGCCATCTCGTTGTCACCCTCACACTGCCTCGGGGCCAGTATTGTGAGAGGTCATTGACTCCAGGTGAGAAAGTGAGAGACTGGAGGGAGAGAAAATGAGAGACTGGACGGAGAAAGGGAGTGATTGATTGAAAGGAAAGTAGATTGATAGATAGATAGTTGGACAGATAGATAAAAAATAGACATATGGATAGATTGGTAATTTATTTATTTATTTATATATATATATATATATATAATGGAGAGCCTGGGAGTCGTACCTATTGCTGGTGGTCGTGCCTGCTGGTGATCGTCGTACCTGCTGGGGGTGGTCGTACCAATGGTTGACGTTCCTGTTGGTGGTGGTCGTACCTGTTGGTGGTGGTCGTACCTGCTGGTGGTCGTACCTGCTGGTTGTGGTCTTACCTGCTGTTGGTGGTTGCACCTGTTAATGATTGGCGTACCTGCTGGTGGTGGTCGCACCTGCCAATGGTGGTCGTACCCTCTGGTGGTGGTCGTACCTTCTGGTTGTGGTCGTACCTGCTGTTGGTGATCGTTCCTGTTAATGGTGGGCGTACCTGATGTTGGTAGTCGTACCTGCTGGTGGTTGTCGCACCTGTCAATGGTGGTCGTACCAGCTGGTGGTGGTCGTACCTGTTAATGGTTGGCGTACCTGCTGGTGGTCGCCGTACTTGTTAATGGTTGGCGTACCTGCTGGTGGTGGGCGTACCTGCTGGTGGTGGGCGTACTTGCTGGTGGTTGGCGTACCATCTGGTGATGGTCGTACCTGCTGGTGGTCGTCATACCTGCTGGTGATGGTCGTATCTGCTGGTGGTCGTCATACCTGCTGGTGATGGTCGTATCTGCTGGTGGTGATCGTGGTGGTCGTACCCGTTAATGGTGGTCGTATCTGCTGATGGTCGCGTCACTTCCTGGGTGAAAGTAATCGGCAGAAGACTACAAATAACTGGATTGACCGGGTCCTCCTCCTCCTCCTCCTCCTCCTCCTTCCTTATCTTCTTCTTATTTCCTCCTCCTCCCTTCTTAATATCCGCTTGTTCTTGGCTGTTGTTCTTCTTTTCTTCTTTGTTATCTTCCTCTTCTATTCTTCTTCCTTGATGTTTTATTCTTCCTCTTCCTTCTTCTTCTTCACTCTCTTCACCCTTCCTGCCTCTTCCCCTCCACCCCCCCTCCACCTCCCCGCCCTCCCTCCCCCTTCCCCTGCAGCATCCTTTGGTGCCTCAACCCGGAAACCTTAGTTGCAACCTGGAGATAATAAGCGTCAATATGGCGTCAATCGTACACTGAGACTCTCGCCCAACTAGTAGTTCTCTGTTGGAATTTCGCCCTGGAATCAGTGTGTGTGTGTGTGTGTGTGTGTGTGTGTGTGTGTGTGTGTGTGTGTGTGTGTGTGTGTGTGTGTGTGTGTGTGTGTGTGCGCTACCTTTATCTGTCTGTCTCACTTCTTGTTCTTCTTTTTGTTCTTCGTCTTATTCTTCTTCTTGTTCTTCTTTTTATTCTTATCTCAAGTGAAATACCAAAGGTGTAGTGATGACCCACCCACCTGCCCACCCACCCACCTGCCCACCTACCCACCTACTCACCTGCCTACCTGCCCACTCACCTGCCCACTCACCTGCCCACCCACCTGCCCACCCACCTGCCCACGTAAAGACACCCTGTAATAATACACTTGAGGTCGTCCGTTGCTCAGGTGAGGGGAGGCCAGTGACCTCTCCTCCTCACTCTTCCCAAATTGTCCTCCTTTTCTTCCCCCTCCTCCTACTTCCATCTTCATCCTTTTTCCCCCTACCGTTTTTTTCCTCCTCCTCCTCCTGTTTTCCTCCCCTTCTTTTTTCCTTCTCATGTCTTCTCTTTCCTCCCCTCCCTTTCCCTCTTTTCTTTCTTTCTCTCTTCTTTTCCTCCTCCCCCTCCCTTTTTCTTTCCTCCCCTTGCCTTTTACTTTTCTTCTCCTGTTCGCCTCTTTCTCTCTCTTTCCTTCTTATCTCTTCATCTTTCCTACCCCCTCCCTTCTTTCCCTCACTGTTGTTATGTTGGGAAAGGAGTGATGATTGGAGAGAGAGAGAGAGAGAGAGAGAGAGAGATGCATGCCACCTAGACAGCGAGACAGACGGGTTCGCTTGTTTGAGTCTACAAGTTTCTCAGTGACTTTCTGGCGGCGGGAGCGAATACACATACCCACCTTCTCCTCCTCTCTGGTCTGGCGTTCATCTGCGTGGTGTTTAACTGCCTGGCGTTCATCTTGTGTTTATCTGCCTGGCGTTCATCTGCGTGGTGTTTAACTGCCTGGCGTTCATCTTGTGTTTATCTGCCTGGCGTTCATCTGCGTGGTGAGGCGTTTGGTTAGCGTTGATATGCGTGTTTGATTAGAGTTGATCAGAACTTGAAACCGAATAAAGAAAAGGAAACAGAAATATATTGATAAATAAAGGAAGAGAAAGAACGAATAAACAAACCCGAAAGCACAAAAACAAAATGGAAACGATAAAGTAAATGTATAAATGATATAAACAAAAGAAAATCGAATAGCGAGAAGACAACACGCCAATAAACACAGTGAAACAAGACATAAAAACAAGGCAGATAAAAAGGAATAGGCAAAAAAGGAAGGAAAATAGGTTAATCAATCAATAAAAAATAAAAATAATCGTTCGAAGACAAAAACAAAGTAAAGATTGAAGAAAGGGTGAAGAGGGAAAACAACAAGAAGAAGAAGGAAAGACAATTTAGGAGAAGACAACGCGAAGAAAGACATTTGTGAAAGCTATTTTTTTCTGGGAAGAAGCCAAGACAATTTCCTTATTGTTTTCAAGGAAAGACAAAAACAGACCTTTAAACCGGACATTGTTGAGAGAGAGAGAGAGAAGGAAGTGACGTCAAACAGAACTGAACGTAGAGAGAGTGAGAGAAAAAGGTCATTACGGGGGAGGAAAGAAGAAGAGAGAAAGAGAATTAGACCAACGGACTTAACTGAGAACGCAAACGCACACGCACTCAACTAAGAGGGGAACGCGCATCATTACAGAAAGGTAAAGACTGTCTTTAACAATATTGAGAGAGAGAGAGAGATGTCACTGACTTGACCACCACCACCGCTCATCATCTTGTGTGTGTGTGTGTGTGTGTTGGTGGAGATGGTGATGTTGATAATGGTAGTGGATTTGATGGTGATAATGGTGGTGATGATGGAGATGATGGTGATGGTGGTGATGATGGTGATGAAGAAGGAATCTCGTTTAGCTGTGGATGAGTCAGGGTGATGGGGCAGTATTTACTAGTCCTTGGCCGTGGCTCTAACCATTGTGGTGATGGTGGTTGTGGTAGTGAGGGTGGTAGAAGTAGTAGTGATGGTGGTAGTAGTAGTAGTAGTGATGGTGGTAGTAATAGTAGTAGTGATGGTGGTAGTAGTAGTAGTAGTTGTAGTAACAATAATTATCACAAAGTACAGAACACAAAGAGAGAGAGAGAGAGAGAGAGAGAGAGACAACACCCACCGACCGGGCCCCACCACCATTATGTAACTCATTTATGTAATCTGGAAATATTTCGTATTTAATTTGGAAACATTTGTATAATTTAGATTTGTTTTTCTATTTAATACTGACGGCAATATGGCGCGCCGGCTATTATATTCTATTCTAACAACATTACTTGGCTTCCCACACGAAATAGGTTAGGTCAAGTTAGGTTAGGTTAGGTTTGACTAAAAATACCATTGTAGACCGCACCTTATAGTCGCCTGTGGTGGTAGTAACCCTGGGACCCATATAATACGTGTGTAAAGTTTCACGTCTCTAACTGCTTCCGTTTTGGAGATATCGCTGGGACAGACAGACAGACAGACAGACAGAATGAATGACAGTTACACTCACGAACAGACACTTCCTTTTATTATTACAGATTATACAGTTATGTGTTTAAAGGTAATGAAAGCATATTTACCCTTGGCTGTGACTGATACCCCTGACAGCTGCGAGATCTTGCGACACAACTTTCACGTCCACCATAATGAAGACAAAATATTCCCCTACTAGAGACTGTTGCTTGTAATTTGAGAAGAAATTTGTCGACAATTTCATATGACTCAAAGGTATTATTTTTTCCGTCGGATATTGAGAACTAAAGGATAATATATTTTAGTTGGATGTTGTTATTCTAGATTTAAGGTGTTTAAAATATGTTTGTAAGGTATACGAGTATGTCCTTGCCTAGGTGGAGGTAAGTGGAGTATTACACACCAGTAAGGGGGAAAACTTAAGTATCCCCTGACAGTGTTGGAGGTCGTGTAAGAAAACGTTTTCTCTAGAAGGGTAACTAAAATATTTTCCACAGTCATAATTTCAACGGCAAATACACATTAACATACAGTATTTATATCAGATCTAAGGAAAATATGTTGAAAGGATTAGGTTATTATTTCTCTACGTGATGTTGTTTATGGTGTTGTTATTGTTAATTATAAGATACATATAATGAGCATCAGAATTTTCAACGGGAAATATGTAGTGATTGTAGTCTTTAAGGAAAATGAAGTAACCTTGATGTGTATACCTAAAATAAATTAATTCACCACAGGATGTTGTCGGTGGTTGTGTTGGTGTTGGCAACAACGAGCGTGTGGGCGGGACCTGCCAGAGAACGACAACTCAAGCCGTGTCCAGAGGGCTTCGAGGCGGTAGTGGTGGACGGGAAGCAGGACTGCGTGTGCGCCGACTACCACGTGTACTGGCCCAACACTGGACTCTGCTACCCGGAGTTCACACGGGGTCCCTGCGGCCAAGGTCAACAGCTAGCGGCTAACGATACAGGTCACGCTGAGTGTAGGTTAGTCTGAGGTCAACTGTAGTTTTAGTGTGTTGTGCTGTGCTGTTTCCTGCAGCTGAGTCGTGTAGATTATAACCCCTATAACGTGTAGATTGCACCCTATACAATACTATTTATTCAATAAAGTTGCCATTCAGGTTTACGATTGGATTGGCATGTATACAGAGCATGCAGATATACAGTTCAGCGTGAATACAGACATTACAGGTACAGTATGCGGTTACATAGACCATGGCAGTGTACGGTTTCCTATGTACAGTCAACAGCTGAAGTTTGTCCCAGCTCCCCTGTGTTTTGTGAGACAGGTGATCTGGTAACACTGTATGGGGAGAGAGTTGGTTATTAAAGATTTGTAGTTGGAGATTACCTAAGACTATATTAGCCTGAAACACATGGCCATATCTTTTGTTTATTGAATGATTGTAATGTATCTTTACTTATTATATTTAAGAGGTTTTGAGGTTTGTAACTAATGCATGTGTAGGTGTTTATGTCCTGTGAATGTCCGAATGATGGTCTTCTGTGTGTTATATAAGTACTGTACTATATAGACGAGTGTGTGTGTTATTGTCAGAGTTGTGTTGTATAGAGTTCAGGATTACACGAGTGTTTAAGTGTTGTGACGTAATTACTGTTATTTTTCACGTGTGTGATGTGTATTAACTAGCCACAAGTATTTAATATGTTAAACTTTTTTGTATAATTTGTGCAGTAGAGTTGCAAGTATTTAACACAGTCTTGTCTTGCAGATGTCCCGGGTTCTGGGCACGGTGGACTGATGGTGCGTGTTACCAAGAGTACACCCAGGGGCCGTGTAATGTTGGGGAGCTGTTCATGGGTCGCGGCCCCTCTACCGATGGCTTCTGCTCCTGCACCGCTGAACTCATCATGCACTACTTCCGCGCTGACGGCCGCTGCTACCCGCTCTATGAACAAGGTCCCTGCCCCAAGGGTCACCTCCTTAAGTTCGACTACCGCACACTGGAGCCTGTGTGTGAGTGTCGCGATGGCTACATGCTTGAAGAGGACGGTTCTTGCTACCCACTTAACACTGCTGGCCCCTGCGACCAGACTGCTTGTGAGGATGGCATCAACTGCTACCTGAGAAACCTTGACACCCTCAAGACGGAGTGCAAGTGCCTACCAGGAAACGTGACCACAGCTGATGGCCATTGTTATGAGCCATACTCACGAGGACCTTGCCAGCTTGGGGATTGGCTTGTTTTCTCCCAGCCAGGCGTCGCTGTCTGTGAGCGCAAGACCCACTGCACACGCTTTGACAACTGGTTCTTCTGGACACCCGATCAGAGGTGTTACCGCCAATACTCCCGTGGTCCCTGCCCAGCTGGCCAGCTCTTCTACCTGGACCCTAACACAGGCATCTCAGGCTGCCATTGCCGCAAGGAATGGACACCCTACTACTGGGAGGCTGATGGCTCCTGCTACGAGCAGCACTCTGTAGGTCCCTGTCCAGTTGGCATGTACTTCAGCTTCAACCAAACATCCAGCCAAACTGAGTGTAACTGCTTCACCTCCCATGTGCTGCACGAGGAGTCCAAGACGTGCTACGAACGCATGACTACTGGGCCATGTTCTGAGGGCCAACTGGTGGTGGAGGACCCCAACACAGGACGCATGGCCTGTGACTGTCATGCCGGCATGACAACCCACTACTGGCAGGCTGATGGCCAGTGCTACCAACACTTCCTGCAGGGACCCTGTTCAAAGGGACAAACCTTCAGGCTAGACCGTGCTACTGGTGTACCTGCCTGTATAACCTGGGGTTAATTACCATCCCCAGCTTCTCATTCTTAGTACCTTCATTTACACGAGTTGCACCACAACACACACAACAACCTTCACAACACAACAACCTTCACAACACAACAACCTTCACAACACTGTTTTCTGCTTCACATCAACAATAATTCAGCAACATATGAAGACCTCTTGTTGAAGACCACATACACCTACACATCCTTCCTCCTGTTTAAGTTAGTCCCAAAGTTGATCCTCTTGATGGTAGGCAAATTACTTGTAAATAGACTATTTCCATTGATGGTGGATTATGGGAAGGCCACTACTTCCAGCCCTCATCTGCTCATCAACACATCATTGTTCCACACACCAAAAATACCTACAACGTTTTTTTTTATCCTCTCTGTACACTGAGTTTTGGTGCACTGTTAGTTCTTAGGTTCCTATGGATTTGCTGCGATTGGTGGTACACAAGGTGGGTCTGTATATACCTGTGTGGGTGTTGACCCTGTCCTGGCTACACTGACCTTAATTATATGAACACTACACCCACAGTATGAACACTACACCTACAGTAACCACACCACAACACTCATATACACAAGATTTAATATAATTAGTATTGAGTCTGACTTAGACGGATATAATTTCAGCGTCACTATATAGATCACCTCACAATTTTGACAGTGAGTTTGGTCAGGGTAGAAAAGCAAGCAGATATATCACTCCTTAATCTACGTCTCTATGGATAAAGATTAGCAGTATTCATTTTGATCCGAGATACTAAAACTTTAATTCATATTTGTCTTGTATATACCGAGATGAGTTTATATCCGTCTTAAACATCGAGATTATTAGTTCATATTGAAATCCCAGTTGATTTTTTTTTTATGTTTTAAATTAATAGAAACCATTGATATGAACATCTAGTATGGATACAGATGCCTATTGGCCACCAACTAGATTACAGACAAAAGCTGATAGAAAAACAAAAGCAGGTATACAGAGGCTTGTGGCTCGGACAGTTAACACCCATAGTGAAGGAAGAAGACAAATGAAATAAACAAAATTGTTCTCCCTTCACCAACCACCAGATTAAGTAAATTAAATAAAAATAAATATTGATGAGACTCTTGTATTACTATGTTTGTTTCTTATATTTTATTACTTGTGAATGATAATACAGTACACTTAAGATCCCGTTATATACTTGTGAATGATAAAACACACTCAAGATCCCGTTGCTTGAGTGCTATTCCTGAATTTGGCCCAAAGAGGCAAAGACGATTCAACTTTTTCTTAGAGTAATGAAGGAATACATATCCTTCTCTGTTGCTTTGGTTCATGCATAGGAAATACAGTACAGTAGTTGGCTTCAAGACGGTTTTACAGTATATCATGACGTATTGGGGTTAATTTTCCAGTTAAAGTGTTGTTGTTGTTTTTATGAGGCACTGATAAAAGGTAATTAAATTATTTATTGTAAGGATGTGCTTTGTGAGTTCATATTGTCTTCTGTACATGATTACTATTGTGTTCTTCTCAATCGTCTTTGGCTGTTTGATGAGGCTTTTACTGATAATGTTTTACCTTTATTTATGTATGTGTGCTCATGCTTGTATGTATGTATGTATGTGTATCTATGTGTGTATGTTATGTATGTCTGGATGATTGAATGATGAAGACTGTATACTTGTTTGGGTGACACAGTTGTTTGTGAAGCTTTCCTGAGTGTCTGAATATGTGCAAGTATTCAGTAAGTCTGTTTAATGTTTATTGAATGAACTGATTGGTCTTTGTGTCGAGCAAAGCTTTCCGTAGCGACCCGAGGCTTCTTACAGATAACGCAAAGCTTCAAAACAGCTTCAATGGGCTTCCTTGAGACTCTCTCAATGTGACATGAAGATTCTTGAAAAATAAAAAAGGCAAGATTTTTTTAGATGCTTCATGAGGATTCTTAATGTAAAGATTCTCAAAAAAGAATTATTGTTCTCAGCTTCTCATATGTTTGTGAAGTTTTACTGTTATATGTTCTGTTACGAGGTGAGCTGGTACAGTAAACTCGTGCGTTCCGACCCGTCAAGTTTGAATCATGATTAAAATTACTCGAATTATGATTCAATATTTGTGCCATTAATTTTTTACTCACTAAAACACTTTATTTCGGAAACATAGTACTTGTACAGTATACATTTTCTAATCAAGCTAAAAATGGCTTAAATCCAAATGATTTATACAACAGTAATGTGTTTTACAAATAAAAAGGTCAATCGGAGGACTCGAAATGTGTCACTATGTATGTGAGCTGTGATGCTTCCTCTATGTTCCAACACACAACGCGTTATGCCCAGCTCGCCCCATGACTGATGATCACCACTATGTTGTAGCAGCACCAGACATATGTGATATACTCTTGAATAAAGGATTTTTCATGAAGATAAATTATTGTGTTATTTGAATTAACCATCTTTCTGAATAATGGATACATTCTTGAATCTCCAAAGGTCCAAGTTTTGTTTACTTGTAATTGGAAATGGAACAGTTTTTCCAATGTATTTATCATTTCACCTCGCACAATCATGCAGACATGATACATAATCGATTTTATAACATTTACCATGCAGCATAAAGAGGTTAAAAGGCCTTTGAAATGGTGCGTTATAGGCGAGTGTTAAAAATAAGTTACACTTTCTGGAAAGCAATGAAAAGGTACTAATGTCAGCAAAAACTTAGAGAAATAATTTAAAAAAATGTGATACCGTACTTTGGTAAAGTTGAAAGGAGGGAGGCCAGGCTAAGGCAGAGACTAACGAGTGGTAAAAACACACCTAAGATATGAGGATGGTACTGTGGGGTTCAAGATGTTTGGTTCACACTCAGGATGGTTGGAGAAAGGAAACTCACAGTGTGCTCTCTATATACATGTTGTATTGGATGTACAATGCAGCTTGGTGCTGGGAAGGCAGCATGGTTACAAGCGTGATGTACAGTAGAGAGAGCTGGTTGGTGAGGACGCTCAGAGAAGGACAGCTTGTGGGTCGCCATGCTCGCCGGCGGGAGCGAGGACCGCCAGGCAGGCGGAGGAGGAGGAGCGAGGGCCGCCAGGCAGCGGCGGAGGAGGTGTTGCTAGCTGGTTGGTGGAGGTAGAAAGAGCCAGGTCACCACGAGGTCAGGTCTTAAATAGCTGGGGTTGGCGTGGCTTAGTAGTTGACCCCCGCCCCGTGATGTATGGCGGCGCTGGTTGACTTAGACCACGAGGCACACACTGTGGAATTCGTGGGGTCGGCTACGCAGCGAGAAACAGCGTTTGTAGGGGAGAAATCCACTACAGTACTCTCATTGATTGATTAATTAGGGTTTAATCCGCCTCTATCGGCTTACTAGCTATTCCTTCTTTTATTACTTTGTTTTAACTTAATTGTTCAGTGTTAGTGTAGGAGGAAACCTGTAACACGTGTGTTTCAGGCTGGGACTTGAACCCAGGTCATATATTGAGAGATGCTCATTGATGCAAAGAGAATGCCCAATAAATTAGCCCACTCGCGGGGCAAATTAAAAAATAAATTATCACCAAAACTTAACATTTGTAACATGAATATACACTATATAATTCGGTTCAATATATTTTGTTATCAGAAATAATTTATCAAAATATAAATGCCATTAACTCGGTTTATTAACATTAACAATTCCTGGAGTGTCCTGAGCACCTCGACCCCTCAGGCTCGTCACCGTCGGTCACAAGCGTCGGGCTGTCGGTGACGAGGAGTCGGGTGGGACAGAAGTCTGTAAACAAACGCCTGTGACAGAGAAGCTCACCATAATAAACGGACAATTATCACGTTATTGGTGATTGGAAAATAGGTGATTTAGGTATGTATGTTTTTTTTATAATACTAGTAACTCGTTTTATATAGTTTGATAAAGCAGAAAATTTTATTATGGGTATTTTGGCCTCATGTGTTGGCCTGGACCAGGATACTGTGGCGTCTTAGTCGGTGTACTTCCAACTTTTTCTTCAAACAAGTAGCTTGCTAGAGGCTCAGGAATGAGTTTGATATTTGCTTTATGACTCTTTTGGTTCACTTAAATACGAAGGGTGACAGGCCAGCAATACAGGAAGTGGTTACTAAGCCGGGAATTCCCAGCTGGGCAGACTGGAGGCACCTGGCCGGGATGTTAAGTTAGGTCAGAGAAGTCACGTATCCTCATATGAGAGTTGTGAGATTTGTTACCATGTCATTGACTGTTTCATTACTGGCCATAGATACCATGGAAGTTAGACACTCCAGCTTATTTTACCAGGTGATTAAACACCCTAATGGCAACTTCGCCTAACCTAACCTCCCTAAGTCCTTTATACTGTAGTAAATATAATATTTTGTTGGTTACAGGAGATTTTACAACAAATCTTTGGGAAATTGAACTGCACTATCACAGCTGAAAATGACCAGCTGGAGCATGGAACAAGAGCTGCCACCACCACCATGGCACTATCACCATCACCTATGGCAAGGTAAACTGTAAACTAAAGGAACAGCTCTCATACCCTATGGTGGAAATCTTTGTGCCCCTCTAACTCATAATACAAGTTGTTGTAACTGTGCTCCTGTTAGTTGTTTGTCTTTGTCTCTCATCCTTTTTATATCTTTCTATCTAACTCCTGATGTATGTTTGTGTCTCTTGACCAAATTCCAAGTCCCTTCCTCCCCTTTGTTGAACACTCATGTCATTATACTGACATACTCATAATTACAGACATTATAAGTATTTTCTTCACAAGTTTAGTAACCATCGTATTTTTTCCGTTGTGAGGTCTCCTCCCCCATGCAATAGCTGGCTGACAATGAATACACATACAGTAATTATATTATATGTTGAGTTAAGGTTTCAGCAAGAGATATAGTATATAACATTATTTATAAAAATATTTATAAGTAATTTTTACTGCAGCAAGATGCCCAATCAAGCAGCGGCATCAGATTTTTTAAAATTATTATTGTACAGTATATGGCAGAGCATGAGTCAGGACATGGATGATGGTGCTTAGCTGTTCCTCATTTGAAGATATTAATGGTACAACTGTTATATAAAGATACCTTTCTAGCATCTAGTGTACCACATTTTCAGTTAATAGTAACCCACTAAGTGAGTTTCAGCAGCAATATATTGTACATAAGTCATGAACAAGAGGTAGCCAGGTGGCAGACTATTACAGCACTGTACCTACATTACAGGTCCAGCCTGATATAACATACAGGTAAACATCTCCATGAACACTTGTCAAAAGCATTGACAAAATTTATATGTATATATTATTGATGTTGCCACCCTGCTCCAGAATTTGAGTCCAAACATCCAGCATTGTAAGTAATTGTCTCAAGCAGGAGCGTTCCAGCATAAAATCACGTTGGCAGTCCTTCTCAAGGTTGTTTCTTAGTAGATGTTCCACTATGGCATGTTTTATAATGCACTCTAGTACTTTACACACAATGCTGGTCAGGGTCACTGGTCTTTAATTATTCGTGGAGTAATGATCGACCTGCTTGAATATAGGACTCACATAGCCATTTTCCAGTCACTGGGGACCTTTTGCTCCTCCAGGCACCTACCAAACAGGATCCAAAGGGGCTCAGCAAGCTTGTTGCACAACTCTCTTAGCACTCTGGGATGCACCATGTCAGGGCTGGGACTCTTATGAACCTTTAGCTGAGACAGTTTATTTTGTATACCCTCTTTTGAGAACACAATGTGGGTCAGCACTGTGTCACACCATCTTTTTTCAAACGCCGGAAGATTGGTTGCATCCTTTCTTGTGAACACCGAGGAATAGAATTCTTTTAACACCTCCGCCTTGTGTTGGTCTGAATCTGCATAAATACCATCAAGCCTCAGATCTGATACCCGGGTACGCCTTCACGTGTTTTTTATTTTTGTTTTGCTTAGCGGTAGAAAGCCTTCGGGTATGATTTTACCTCACTTACAATCTGCCTCTGGAACTCCTTTTCAGCTCTTCCTTGCACTCTGACTTTGCTTGGTTCCTGGATCTGGCATACATCCTCCTGTCCTGTTCATCATTTGTCCCAACCCACATCTTGAATTTCTGAGATTTTTTCTTAACTTTATCAACTGCTGCACAGTTCATGTATAACGGTCTCCTTTTATTCCGGGAGTCACTTTACTGGCTATGATATTCAGAGTAGTGTCTGTGCCCTTGTTCCTCAATGAGTTGGGCCCATGTATTGCCAACAGTGCCTAACAGATAGCCAGTACATGCCCACAGTGCCTAACAGAGACGTGATCGACCTCGCAAGCGGCTACCGGGTCAATCAGTGGCAAAGAAAATGAAATAAAATATATTAAAGTAAAATAATTGATTTTATCTTACAATCATAATAAAAAAGTAAAGGAGTCCTCCCAACTAAAAGTTTCATTTTCTTTTATCACAACAGTAATAATGCATATAAATGAACAGTTTTATGAATGACTTTAAATGCAGGAGGACTTAAATGACTTTGAATGAGATTAATTTTCAAATTTTCAGAATTAAATGACTGAATGAGTTTAAAGATGTTACAGTAGTATTAAAGAGACCAACCAAATATCACTTTAATTTATTGACTAATAATAATAACAATACTTGTAATACAGTAATAATATAGGTCACTTGCGAGGGAAATGTCATAGATGAAAAGTGTCTTAGAAATGTCTCAACTATTGATTTCAAAGATAAAATTTTTGAGATTTGGTTGGTGGTAATAATAATAATAATAGATTAATTGTCATGTAGTTAATTCAGGACAGAGTTTTATTTAAGAAATTAACATTTTGCTATAGAAATGTTAGTTATGAAAAGTTCACTTAATGAGACTTAAGTAAATTTTTGCAAAATTAATTTTACATTGCAGATTATAAGCAAAATATTTATAAGAATAAATGGATTTCAGGATTATTAGGACTAGTACTGTACTGTATTGGTTTAGTTAAGTTAGATTAGGATATGTTAGGTTAGTTAGGTAAGGTTAGGTTTGGTTAGGTTAGGTTAGTTAGGTAAGGTTAGGTCTGTTTTTCCTAATTTCATATTTATTCTGTTTATTACTCTTTTCTATACTTATATATTTGCATCATATATATTATTGTATTTTCTGAATTTCATGTCCTTACTTTCTCTCAATTATATCCTGTTTTAGTTATATTCTAAACCATGGATTAGTCTGGGAAACCATGTCATTCTTATTATAACACTTAGTATACTTACGACGGTAGCCTGCCACCACACAGACTTTTATTAGAATATAACATATCTCATTGAACTGTTAGGTAGCGTGCCAGCAAGCTTCTAGGCATGTGAGTTACAAAGTTATTTTCTGAGAACCAACGGGTTGAAGGGATAGAGTGGTGATACTTGTAGTTTACTAATTTAATATTTATTAACATATGGCATGAACAAGATGTTAATTAAGTACACTCAGACAAGACTGGACCACTTAGGTCTTACTTTAAACATAGCAAAATAGATCTTCATTTCTTGATTACAACATGACACACTCATTATATTACTTCATTGTCAATACAGATGAATATATAACACACTCGACAAGATCCAAAATTAAGATATTTTTAAGCACATCATGTTAGTACGGAATGAACAACATGGCACTTTAACTAGACTCAGTGGTAGTACACCTGGTTGGTGGACTCAACCCCTATACCAACGGTACCACTGGTAACACCAACATTCATGGGTTCAATATACTCGACCTGGGATAACTATATTTCTGCTGTTTATACAGACTGTCTGTTTATACAGACAGCCAAAACTCGCTTGGAAGGAGCGCCGGGGGGTAGACTCGGTGCAGTATCTTCACAGTGTTCCCTGGGTAGTCCTGTCCTCGGATTCTAATCTCGCCATATTAAAGACATCCTTCAATCCACAATCTCTGTAGCTCTTCTGACCTTGTTTTTTAATTCAGATGCAGTGGCTTCCACAGTTATCTCAGACTGCATAATGATCTTACAGTTTTCACCTACATAAGGCTGTGACATAAATATTTAATTTTCTTGCATACTCATCTATGCCATCTGGGATGCAGAGAGGTTTTCTCCCTTGCTGTTAATCAAGAAATCTGGCTTTATAAAACAAGTAAGGAACTACTGGAAGGTCTTCTTCTGTGAATCATGCAATTTATGAACTTATGGATCTTTATTTTGAAAGAGAAGGACATACTCCTTCAGTAGAGGCATTTCTGCTTCACAGAACTCCAGTAGAGTTTTCTATCCCTATAGAAAACCTATAGTAAAGTTAAAACATTATAAAATACAGCATGCCCTTCAAATTCGCGGGGGTTAGGTTCTCAAAATGGCTGCGAATAGCCAAATCCATGAATAACATTTGCTGACCAGGGGAGGGGTACATTTTTACTTGTGTACAGAAATATATATTCCCTTCATGTGTTTGCCCTTAGGACAATTATTTCTTTTACCAGTATTGTATACCGGTATGTGTGAATGTGTAGACACACACACACACACACCACTAGATGTCTCCATGACCACGTGAGGTCCTTCATATCAACACCCGAGGACGAGTTACTGCATCAGGTGGCCTACGTGACCTCACACAGTAAGGCAAGTGACCAGCCCGAGCCATCATCTGCAACTATAATAATTTGTATGTTCAATTTATGTTTCTTCTCCTTTTAGTAATGAAAGATTTTGTTAAACGACCCACCCACCCACCCCATGTCTGTATGTAATACGCAATTTTTGTCTAATGTATATTTTCAGCCTTCGGACTGCTGAACTTTTTCAATAAACCGTTAATTATTATTATTATTATTATTATTATGCTATAAGAACAGCCCAGTCCCAACCATTTTAAATATTATCAACAACTCGTAATCAACCAGTGTATGTATTCACTCCCAGCCAATCTTACCTTTTTGCTCAGTCACTATGTTGAAATACCCTGTAGTACTTCCTTCTCTTTCTTCTTAATGTAACGGACAGTTGACTCGTTGACGCCGTACTCCCGGCCACACGTGGCAAAGCTTTGGCCACTCCTAAGTTTGTCCAGCAGTTGTATCTTCTCCACTAGGGTCATGACCTTCATTTCTCTCTTCACTTGTGTGGGCACCTTCCCACAGCTGGATGAAGGTGGTTGAGAGCGTTTGGGAGCCATCACAAACACGAAGAGCACACGCACGAGACGAACAAGTGTTTATCTCGGACTGAGGCGGAGGGAGTGAGGGTGCGAGTGGGCCAGCCTCCCGGGACAAGAGAGACACCTTGCTGGACTCCACAAAACTCACGCGATCCCCGTATCGGTTGCGAAAAGGCCAGCAACTTTAAAACTACCCACAGTCATTCTTGGGCACATCCTGGGTGTCGTCCGCAAATAATAGAGGAACGCGAAATAAAAATCCGCGAATTATCCGGGCATGCTGTATTGAATTTTAGATTTCATACGCCATTAAATGCCATAAAAATATTAATGGTTTAAAACATAAATATGATGATTTTGTTTGATCATGTCTTCAAGCATTTTAATTTTGCTTATTTGTTTATTAAGCAATGTGACAAGTTATCTACTAATATCAAACTTGATAATTCACTCTTTCACATATTCGCTTTTCTGTTCTTGCTCTCATCTGTGAAGTTTTTTGACCTTTCCTTCAACTCTTTCCATACTTCCTTAATTCTTTTTCTAAAGGGTTGTGAGATGTTATGCTTTGAGAGAACTGAATCTAATCCATCTTTGTATATTTCCTTGTCTTGCTTTTGCAGGAAGGGGAAATAAAACAGGACATAAGCATCCCACAGATGCAAGGTGCTGACACTCACATCACAGGTAGAAAGCCAGTGATGTGGGACAAGGCATTCTGGTCTTGAAAACTTTATACCTATAAGATTGCATATTTCATGCAGTCATTATGAATGTGATGACATGAATCTCCATCTATGTCCAACAAATGTGGAGCTCTCTTTTCTTTTATCTGTTGTTCCAAGCCATTCTGGGAACCTCTCATTATAGCACAGGAATCCATGAGAATAGAAACTAAGTTTTCCCATGGTAGTTGATGCTCTTCAAAGAGATCATCTAAAGCTTTGAATAGAGATTGACTGGTTACCATTGTAAACTCAATAGCTGCTTGGTGTTCTACCATCATCTTTTGGTGACTTTGTGACCAATTACACCTAATACTCTTAGATGTGTTTTTGTTGAAGCTTCATCAGTGTTCAAAGAAAAAGGCTAGATCCTCATCTCTTGAAGAATGGTATCTAGAAAACTTTTCTTCAAGCCATAAGACAATTTATAAGAGGCTGATGTGCAGTCCATTGTCATTTCATCCAGAGCTCTACAATCCTTAGCTAGTTCCTTGGGAAGGACTATCATCACTAGTGGCATGGTCATGGGAAGCGAATGTTCTGCGATTACACCAAGCACCATTGCCTATAAAAACAAATAGTAAACTCACTGGTGGAAAGCACTCAGAGCAAAATTTATTGACTATTGAGCAGCTAATGAAAATAAATTTAAATTTAGCTATGCTAATGAATATACTGTAACATATAACAGAGAACAGTTCTGAATTTCTGATTGCATCACAATAATTATCATTTTTACATTTAAGCAAATGATTGTTAGGCCAATACATTTAATTATACAGTATATACCATACCCCAATAACCTAATACTTGAGCAGACATACAAACAATTACTTGGTTGTTTACCACACGATCAAGAGAGGCGCCAGTCGCCTTGTGGTACCTACATTTTGGTGGGGCAGACACTATATCAATCCTTCTGTGGAACTATTGATAAGAGTTATGTTGCTATGTCTAAGTTTCCAATCTTTAATGTGTTTTGGTTTGGTCACATGAGCTTGCAGTGCTTCCATAATTTATATTGTCACAGCACAATGTGTAAATAATTTACCCTGGGAGACTCGGCTTTGAAAAACAGTCAAAAGACAGAGTATTTCCATCCACAACTGCAGTCTCTTGCAGCCAGCTCCACTTAAATTTATTTCTGACAGATCATTCACACTAATAATTTTTATTCCAGACATGATTAATTAATAGATTCCTATGGCAGAAAGAATTGGTCTTACTCTGAAACACAGAAAGCAGTAAATTAATATTACATTGTACATACACTCAAAATTATGTACAGGTAGTTCACTATGTCCCCATGATTCAACATGAACTGCTTTAACATTAACAAATGGAACTGCATTTACATCAAACATTTATTGCTTAGCTGAAGCCAACTGGGTGAGTACTGTATACAAAAAATAGTGATGGCACAATTAGCTGAACAGCCCAAAAATGTAGCTTCACTACATCATAGATATTTCTCAACGGTAATCCCTCACAATGGCAAGGGTGTCTGGTGCAGACTTATAGAAACATGGCTCACCTCTCCCATGTTGGTGTATTTGTGCATGGTACTCTACGCCTTGGGCTCAGGACAAATGAAATCCCAGACTGCAACCGCCGTATAATATCAGTGACAAACATAACGCTTTATTTCTTTGTCTATATGATATTCATTTATTAAGAGGATGTTGAAAATATCTATAACTCATATTATTATTTTCAAAATACTTGTTTGACCAGTTGTTTATTCGGCCGTACCGTTTACCGGGTCCCTCCAGGCAGCCACACACACGTGTCGCAGATCTATCCACCCAGCTTCAGCAGCAAAGGGTTGCTGTATAAGCACCAAGCTTCAACAGCAAGCATTTGATATATATGGAAACTTAGTTATATTGAAAAATTCTTCTAATAGTGGCGTTGTATGTCATTGATCTTTGGTCAATTAAATACTAAAGAATTGAAGAATGGAATGCAAAACAAGCAATACTCAGCCAAAGAGAAATAGAGTGTATATGATGTAATGCATGGACATGTAGAGTGCGGCCACTATACTAAGTATACTAGCTCATTATACTTGTGTGGCAGTCAGTAAACTGACCCATTGACCCTAGAGGGTCAATTATTGTTAACCTTTTCTCTCGTCATGGTCATACCACTCCCCCCAAAAAAATTCTCAACGGATCTAAGCGATTCATGTGGGTCGCCTAAAACAGTGGGAAAAAACGTAAAATAGGAAAACCCCAGAAAATCATGTCCCTAGCTTATACTAGAGGCGGACAAAGGGTGACATGATAGAAGTTTATAAACACCTCAGGTGATATTACTCAGTCAAGTGTTCATACCTGGAGCTGGCAGATGAATGCTCCGTTAGAGGTGACAACTTAAGGTTTAAGAAGTTACGAGTTTAGAAAATTGTCAGGCAAACTTCTTCGGAGTGAGGGTTGTGAACTTTTGGAACAATCTGCCTGGGAACATTGACACAGCAGTGAGTGAGCTCATTCAAGACCAGACTTGACCAACATTGGTGCAGGTACAGATAGCACCTTCCATCACAAATATACAAGGTTTATCTCCTTATACAGAATCACCTTGAGTGCAGTACTGTGGCGAGGCGTGGTTGCCACACTGGACCTCTCTCAAATGATGGATCACACAAACATCTGCCCATCCACCTTAAGATTAACCACTCTTCTGCTAACTTACCCTAATTTCATCCCCCAGGTGGTGTTGGAGCATCTATAATCAGATGAAATAAACTGGGGGCTAACCTTCATGTGAACCTGAACAACTGCCTTACAATAACATCTACAAGCATTAATCATTCCTAAGCTGGTGTATGATAAGACTTCATGATAATGCAATTGAGACTTTTCAGAAGATTTTGAATAAATTGGAACTGATTAGTCCTTGCTCTTCTGCCTTGGCCATACAGGGAGCAACAACAGACTACCAGGTCAAGCTGTGGAATCAAGAACAGTACTGGGCTTCAAAATAGCCCTCGAAAAAATTTGAAAAACAATGAAGGGGTTCACCCTTAAGCATTGCCACCTCGAGGGTGACTGTTAGGTAAATAAGGTATGAAACTGATAAATTTTCCCAAACAAGGGAGAAAGTAACAAATGGTTCAACACTTGCCAGGCAACACAATAAATAAGACCATAATGTACTGAATTTTGTATGCTGTTCTGTATACAGTATAGTACTGTTCTCCTGTTACAACACTCGGTAATTAAAATTCATTTGTGTACCATGTTATTTCTTGTTTTGGGGAACCATGCATCTTTTGTGTAAGATGTTACATTTATTCCTACAGTTATTTATCTACCTATGTAATAAAGCAGCCATATTGTTTTCACATAAAAAGTGTGATGACTGCCAAGTGTCACCACACTGGGCCATGTTACTGACTATGGGATGAGTCAAAGCTTTAGTTGTTTGATTCCATTCTGATAGGTGAATCAGTTTGTGGACAGTATGGTTGTTGGCTGAGAGTTCATATTGTCTTTACTTATATTATTGTGTTCCTGCTCCATTAGGTTAAGTATTATATATATTGTAATGATTAAATTGTATTGTGTGTGGATGGGTAAGTTTTCATACTGAGAAACCTAATTAATTATTGTCATTATTGTTTGCAGAACACATTGTAAATAGTTTCATTTAATTATATTAACTTATTTTACTCATTGGTTTTGCTTCTCCCATATACAAGTTTGACCAGTCTCGTAAAACATTTCATGGTAAATATAGTTATTTTAGTTGTGAACCCAATCTGTAGAAGTAAGAGTTAATGTAACACTTTCAAAAGGGAAATGAAAATGAAATAAAAATTAAAATCCTTTAATAACTAAATAAAAAACAAAAAACACAGTGGTTAAATGAAGCAATAATAACTTTTGCTAATATTTCCTTTGGATTGTATATAAAAAAGTGCTTCAATTAATCAAGATAAATTCTTCAGTAACCTAAAAAAGATAAATTCTTCAGTAACCTAAAAAAGATAAATTCTCAACTAAAACATTAAATAAAATTTAAACGAGACACATGAAGCACTCGGAGAATAAGATAAGAGATGGAACAATGACTAATTAACACAAGACACACGAACACACTCGAGTATCTATGACCAAATCTATCGGACCAGTACAGTAGCATTGCCTTATAATGAATCAACAGGATACAATAAGCACAATATTCATCCTATTTCCCCGATACAAGTCCATATTACATTCCTATTATACCTCAATACAGGGTCGGAAAAAATTGCATGAAATAAATGGACAGTTTAGTTGAAGTGTAGAGCAGGTTTCAAAATATTCACGTGCCTCGTAAATAGTTACATAGGCACCCACACTACTTCAAACATATTTAACGTTAACTTTCTTTTGATGTAACGGGTACAGTAATGTGGTTACGTGTTATAAAAAAAGGTAGATACTGTACAGTAATTGTAAATTGAGGAAGTTCTTAACATTATATACGTAAATTATAAGAAAGGTTTATACTATCCAGCTGATGAAAACCATTCAGGGTGAAAGACTCTAATCTAATTTGTTTTGTTTTGTGTTGGTGATGGACCTGAGGGAATTTTTAGCTGTACCTGAAGTCTTCTTGCCAATTGAGAGCCTGGGCATCTTCCTGCTGCCCACCCTTGGTTTCCCCTGCATTTCTGATACCTCATTCTCCTTATCTTGGGTTTTCTTCCCGAAAAGCTTAAATTGGCGAGTTGACTTCTGTGGCTTGGGTATTTCCGTTTTGCTTTTTTTTCCGGCTTGGGTGTTCTTCCCCAAGAGCTTAACTTGCTCGTTTACCTTCTGTGGCTTGGGTTTTGCCACGTTGTTTTTTTCTGCTACTTTCTTAGTTTTCCCTTTAGCCTTCTCTGGTACACGTGTGGCCATTTTCTTTGCCTTGGCGCCCTGGGATGAATATTTGGTTGAAGTGTCGCTTGAGATCACAGCTTTCTTTTCCACAGTTTGGGAAACAATTTTATTTATCTGTGGAATAATAAACTGTGTAAGTAATCGGCAAAAAACAAAAAATTAAATAACTGGTCAATCCCTAACTCTTACAAGGGGAAAGGGGAACAGAACAAATGAGAGGGAAGAACTTAATCTGGGTTCATGCTATAAAGGATAAGCTCTGCAAACATACAAGTAATAGTTAGAATGTTTGCAGAGAATGATCTTGGATTTAGTTCCTGGGTAGGGAAATTTAGGTGGATACTTTGGTGTATCTCCACTTTGTCTACTCTGAAAATGTCACATATTCCCAGGATGTCTCTTGTTAGTTAATGACCTAACGTAACCTAATGGAAAGTAGACGAAATGGGAGTAAACCGAGTAGGATGTTCCAGTTATTTTCAGTCTTCCGAGACCATGCAAATGCTACACCCACAGAACCTGCTCTTAATACAACCAAAGGAGTGAGGCACCTACATAGAGCCTTTTGACTTGATAATAAATATAAACCACTCCCTTCAGCCTGCCTAGGGAATAAAACATGATACCCACCTTGAACCAACCCTTTATACCAAGAGACTCGCTACTGTCTTTGACACGCAAGATGGACCTGTTTTCAAGCCCCTTCATCAGTGCTTTCTTCATTAAGGTGTTTGTTCTGCTCCACTCCTTCTCTGGGTAGTTAACTGTTGCAAGGATAGGGAGATTGAAAAATGAACAGGGGAGTGAGTTCATTTCCAAAATGTTAAATTATAACCACTAAAATAACTAAAGAAAATAATAAGAAAATCTAGGTGGTATAATTCACAGTGTAATCTTTACCATGATATGTTTGGAAACCCTAAGAATAACATTTTCAAATCTTCTTGTACTTAATCAAGAACAATACTGTATTTATAAAGTAAATGGTTAATGCCAGCAATTTCTTAAGGAGCCAAAGAGCGATGTTTTGGGGAAAATAATGTGGATTTGAACTCTTATTAGTATTAGCATTTGGTCGGTACACTCAACACATCAGACAGTCATGGGACAGTTACCAACAAAGTCCTTGTTTGCATTTTAAAGTAAATGATATGCAATTTGCTCCTAATAACAAATATTCACCTCATTAGACATCTTATTCACCAATCAACCTAAATGAAAGCATACATTATAATTATTGCTGTGTTGTTTGTACCGACACCGTCACCACTTCTGAGCACAGTAAACATATGGTTGAAAACTTGGATAATCTTTTGTTTATATTTATCTATGGAACTGTACTTCTGTATCATATCTTTAGTACAAGACCGGAATAGTTATTGAAACGGAGCAATTTGCTTTCTACGTGTGTACAGTCGCTCAAAAACTATATTTACAAAATTGTGTTAGACAATACGGCACAATTGTCAAAAGGATTTTAGCAATCCTACCAAGACAACAGGAGTCGGACTGTTCATTTACCCCGTTCTCCAAGTATAAATAGTTTTTGATCGACTGTACATAACATGAACAACAAATATCAGTTCTGTACTTTACATCTCTGCTACTTACCCAAAATATATTTCTTGATACCAATGATGGTTATCCCTTTCTTGTCAGTGCTGGAGGCGATGGCAGCCAAGACAATATCATAGATGGAGGGGACTTTGGTGCTAACTGTTCTGGTCGCCACCTTATTTTCCAAAGTCTTGGTAGGCTTGTTTTTCTTCTTGGCTGGAATGGCTACCTTTTGCTTCACCATGTCGTCCTCCTCCTCCTGTTCTTCTTCCTTCTCCTGTTTTACCTCTTCCTCCTCCTCCTGTTCTACTTCTTGCTCCTCTTCCTCCTCCTCCTGATCTTCACTCTCATCACTTTCAGTCTCACTTGCACCCTTCTGTTATAAAAATTAAATACAAAATTTAAACTTTGGCCAACCATCTTTCTCCCTTCACCACCTCTCCTCCCTCCCTTAACAATCCATCCTCTCCCTTTCACAACTCCTCCTCCCTCCCTTAACCATCAATCCTCTCCCCTTTCCCTACCACCCTTCTTTATCCACCCCTTCCCTTCTCTACTCTTCATCTTTACATACTTGCACTAGTTCTGAAGTGGTGTCAGACACGTCAAAGGTAAGTTGTAACCGTTCTGGGGTGGGCTCGCGGTCCTCCTCTTCTGGGCTCTTCATTTGCTTCATTTTCCTTCTTGTTGGCATGTTCTAAAATATTCCAAAATTATTGTCAAGAAATCGGTTAAACGGTCTCTCTCATTCAGATAAAGGGATGAAATTATGGTTAGACACTCACAAAATCAGTCTAATGTGGGGAAATAATGTCATTGAGAAGTACACTACAGTCTGCCTACATCAACACTCCTGTAAAGGTTTTCTAGAACATTGAAATAAACAAAGCAAAGATTACTTATTAGTCGTCTTTACACCTCAATAAACCAGAAATTATTACCATGGGTTTCTTACACATTAACCATCTACTATACTTTGTGGAAACGTTAATTACTTAATATTAAATAGATAAATGGAAAGAAGAATCCATTGTGTCGATAGGTAGTAGGTTTTAAAAAAATTCTGTTGAGTTAGGCAGGGTTAGGAAGGTTACTTTAGGTTAAGTTGGTTAGGTCAAGTTCTAATTGGATCTGTGCATTATCATTTCCATTTATCTATGGAATGAATGGTACTTAACGTTTTCACAAAGCTTCGTCCAATTCTATCAACTTAAAAAAAAAAAAATCCCAATTGATATATATGTACACTGCCAATAAAAATTTCTTGTTATTTACCTGAATTTGGTAGTACAGGCTGTTATCTCGACATCTTTAGCTAATAAAAACTAAACTACTATTTAATAACAATGATTTTAGCACAAACTAACAATTAAATGATAATCTGCAGAAGTACAACGAAAGTCAATGGTCAATCTCTGCTCTCAATATGATAGTCGGTTATGTTAATTCACCAAATTAAATAATATAAGTTAATTTGTAGTTTACACGTTCTTCAGAAACTAAAAATAATAAATATTTATCAAGATAGTCGATAACTACTGGATAGTTTACTATATATCTACCTAATAATACCATATGGTGTTACATACTGCACGGTATACTGTATGTATCACTGAAGGCCGACTCTTAAACTCATTCACAAAAAATTCCTAACTACCTCAATCATCTTTACCATGAACCTAAAAAAAATAGATTGAAGATTGACTAAAAATTTACTAAAAATTAAAAAAAAAAACTTACAATGGCAATAGAGAAACACTAGACTTCCACTCTCTTCTCTTCTTGGCTACTGACTGACGCGTACTCTAGTTAACACAATGGCTTCTACATGAATTCAAAATAGATATCTTTATTAATATGTGAAAGTGTAGTATTGTAATTGAAGCTTCTGGTAATGGATGACAACTTGTTTACCTTTAATTTATATTTTGTTTAATAGATAGCGCTGTCGTCGAGGTGTGGTGGGTGAGGGAAGGTGGTGGGTGAGGGCGGGTGGTGGGTGAGGGAGGGTGGTGGGTCGGTAGTGTATACGTGTGTATGTCTGCGGTTTTTTTTATAGCAGTACTTTTAATATATCAGGTAAATGTATATCTTAAAACAAGAAAAAAAACATTACATTTCTCTTGTCTTTATTATCAAAATATTTCTTTCGTAGGTATAAAAATAATGCTACACAATTAATACAAAGGCCTCCTTGGACTATACATGGACAAAACTAATGCAAAAATAAGTGTACAAATAATATCTATTTGTCACCCAAAAGACTAGCATTAACTATTTATTGCTAATATTACATAAAAAAAAAACTTCGGATAGTTGTAATGTGAAAACTATGGGGATGTGGCGCTCACGGTTCACTCCCAATCTCGACCCAGCTGTGAATGGGTACCTACAGGGCCGGATTCAGGAGTGGGCAAAGTGGGCAGCTGCCCAGGGGCCTCCTCATATTACAATATGTTTTAATTTCCTCAAAATAACTGCATATGGCTTCAAAATTCTCCAAACAAGTGTTCAAATTTCAAAATTTTCCCGGGGGGCTTACAGCGCCCCCCGGAACTCCCAGATGTTTAGGTTCACTTCACTCGCCACCCCACCCTCTTGGGTAGTTATAATGAGGGGGGCCTCCACAAAGAGGCTGCCCATGGGCCTCCACAGGTCTAAATCCGGCACTGGGTACCTAACCTTTGAGTTAAGGAAGTGAAGTGTAAGCTAGTAGCCACATTGCCTCCTTGTGTACCGAAGGCTTTTATTAGTCAGTGTACTGTATCCATGCCACCCTGACACTCAATCCCTCTCTCACAGGTGTAGGAGGGAGGTTAGGGTAGGTTTATGTGCAGGTTAGGGTAGGTTAATGTGCAGGTTAGGGTAGGTTAATGTGCAGGTTAGGGTAGGTTAATGTGCAGGTTAGGGTAGGTTGCAGATCAAATAAAGGCCTCGGTAGTAATAGTTCCGACCCAAACGTGACCCAATCTAACTTAACCATGAGGATTGGGGAGTATCGGGACGGAACACGTAACCCTTCACCAAAGAGTAGATATATCTTGGAAATATCTACTTTTACTTCTCTAAGTTCAATCTGCTTGTTGCTGGGATTGAAATAGTTGTAGTATATCTACTTGCTGGGGTGGAGTAGATAGCTAGGATCATCATCTACTTGCTGGGGTTGGAATAGATGGCTAGGAGTATCGTCTACTTCTTGCCGGGGGTGGAGTAGAGGTTGGAGGGAGATGGCTGGGAGTAGACGGCCTCCCCTTCATACGTGTAGATAGGGTGGAAGCCAGTGTCGTCCACATAATATTCCACCTTCATGATTCGGGTGTCGGGGAGTAACACGTGGTAGCTGCAAGTTGGATATGGTAGTAGTAGTAGAACTGAACACGGTAGAAGTAGATAGTGGTAGTATTAGTGACAATACTACTACTACTACTACTACAGGATCAGAAATATGAACAAAACTCATTTTATTATTTTTAGTGGTGGGGCGAAGCTTGTATACCTATGACATATATACCTGTACTATGTTAAGCAATAATAGGCTATACTAACCCTTCTTGCTGAAAGACATAAAGAAAAAAGAAAGATCGAAAGAAATAATTACTACATAAGTGGCATTAGTTACCCTAACTCCGTTTTCTGTCATTGTAGTCAGCTCCTGACAGCAAACTGTCACACGCAATTCGTTCTCATTTGCTTCCCAGGCGAGGTATGGAGATGTGTTCCTTTGTTTACCCAGACGTGTGTTTCGTGATGTTTTCTTCACTTCACTTCGCATTTTCTCCTCTTTCGCTGGTAAGTGTTTTTAGCTGGGAATAACAGTATCTCTGGGGATTCCTTGATCTTCACCTTCAGTGCTGGGATAGTTAGGTTGTATCTCGGCAACTCGTTTCCAGCGGGTTGTTTCATTGGTGGTTTAGACCTCTGACTCCCTGCTTCTTGGAGCTGCGCTTTGCCATGGAGAATCAGTTCCACTTTGGTTGAGATCCTCCAAGTCGTGTTTGGCTAGCTGGTGATCCCTCCCCCACACCTGTCTGTTGTGCTAGTCGAGGCGTGAAAACTGGGGTAAACAATACAGGCTGCCACGTTTCACATTGGTCCCAAACCCAGAAAATCTGTCCCAAACCCCAAATGAGTAAATTTACAAAAAAAAAAAAAAATTAAATAAAATAAAAAATTCTAAAGATAAGCAGGATTGGGGGTTCACAACACCACTATAAAAATGGGTGTGATGAGTAGTTTTCATTTTAGAGCTTTGAAGTAGTTGCACTGAAACTACACGTACGTGTTTTGGGTTCTGGGTACCTCTGGTATTACTTGAAATATTTTGCATATATTATATTCCATCAGGTATTGCATGTCAGATACCAAAAATGCATTAAATGACTTGTTGCATATTCGTTGCATGTTACGAATGCATAAAGTTGGGGAGGCATAAAGTTATCCTATTTTTTTTTCAATGTTTGGTGTTTTTTTTCAGGTTGAAGCGAGAGACTCTACTCACCTGCCTGAGGTACGGACACCCTCACGAGTCTCTTGATGGCCGAAGTCCACCTGGCTGCTGTAGGGGTCGTAGTCGTTGACGGTGTAGGAGAAGTCGTAGTATGCTGGAGCCTGAAGGAGGAAGGAGACGAGAGGAGGAAGATAAGTAAGTGGTATTTTTTTATGTGCTTTATGTTAACTGAAAGAAGAAGAAGAAGAGTGCCATTTTCTATCTTGCTTTTGTGGTTATTTTCACTTTTTTATATAATATTTTTATGTTTTTTGGGGGGTGATTTTGTGGGATTGCCAGAGGTATATAGACGAGAAATAATTATTGTGGATATGAAGGGAAATAAACTGAGGGAGAGGTCGATGTTGGTGAGGGAGAGGTCGATGTTGGTGAGGGAGAGGTCGATGTTGGTGAGGGAGAAGTCGATGTTGGTGAGGGTAATGAACTTAAGAGGGTGGTGAGGGAGAGGTCGATGTTGGTGAGGGAGAAGTCGATGTTGGTGAGGGTAATGAACTTAAGAGGGTGGTGAGGGAGAGGTCGATGTTGGTAATTGAAGACTTACTTGGTATTCCGGTACAGGCTGTTGGTAGGTCTGTACAGGGGCCTGTGCAGGCTGTTGGTAGGTCTGTACAGGGGCCTGTGCAGGCTGTTGGTAGGTCTGTACAGGGGCCTGTGCAGGCTGTTGGTAGGTCTGTACAGGGGCCTGTGCAGGCTGTTGCAGCAGGCTCTCTGTAGAGGGACCTGTGCAGGCTGTTGGTAGGTCTGTACAGGCCTGTGCAGGCTGTGGTGGTTGGTACAGGGCCTGTGCAGGCTGTTGGTAGGTCTGGTACAGGGGCCTGTGCAGGCTGTTGGTAGGTCTGTACAGGGGCTGGTGCAGGCTGTTGGTAGGTTTGTACAGGGGCAGGTGCAGGCTGTTGGTAGGTCTGTACAGGGGCTGGTGCAGGCTGTTCGTATGTTTGTAGAGGGATAATGGCAGGTTCTTGGAAGGCTTGAAACTGTACAGGCTGTTGGTATGTCTGTACAGGTGCAGGCTGTTCGTAGGTCTGTAGAGGGATAATGGCAGGTTCTTGGAAGGCTTGAAACTGTACAGGCTGTTGGTATGTCTGTACAGGTGCAGGCTGTTCGTAGGTCTGTAGAGGAATAATGGCAGGTTCTTGGAAGGCTTGAAACTGTACAGGTTGTTGGTAGGTGGTGGTGGCGGCAGGGGGCTGATACTGCTGCCGAAGGAGAGGGCTGTCTGTGTGGCTCTCCTCGGCGGTGAAAGGGACGGCAGGGGTCTGGATGACGTATCGTGGGGGCTGGTGAAGGGGGAGTCTCTCTGACGCCGCCGCCGATGACACCAGCAGCGCCAGCAGGATGATGGTCACCTGAGGAAGGGGTGGTAGTGTGTGAGGGTCTGGGGTGTTACGAGGAGGGAGAGGAGGAAGGGTAGTAGGTGAAGGAACGCATATAGAAAGGGAGGAGAAGGACGGGGAAGGAGGGGAGGCAAGAGAAGGACGGAGAAGGAGGAGTAATGAGGACCCCAACCCTAATTATATGGTTAGATTAGGCTAAGTAGGGTGTTCTATTAGGATTGGAGCCATATTCACAATTCACTAATCATTTCATAATCGTTCATAGTCGAGGGAATGGCATCTTGTATTTTATTTTTATTATACAGTTAAGTTTTATGGTATGTCCTGCGTATGTAAATGAAGTTCAGCCATTAAAAATATATTACGGACCTAAAAGATTTGGCTTGAGACGAAACAGGTTCTTTAAAATTTTTCATCATTTGTGAACTAGAAAATGTTTTTAATCTTGATGGGACGTTTCTATAAATCCACACTAGATAGATAGATATATAGGATACAATGCAGGTATACAAACATTAAGTATAGACAAAGCATACATAGAAAGTGCAGGTATACAAACAGTTTAGTAAATAAACATTAACTTGATTCGACCAAGGGTAACCCAAGAAAGCCATTCAATAAGATGTTTATTTCCAGTAATAGGAATCTTTAGGGAGAAAATGACCCAGAGTGATCATAATTACTATAAAAAATTAAAGTCAGGTGACGTAAAGTAATTATTATGCCACACACCAGCGTCAACAATATTTTTTTGCGCAGTGCCCCTCTCTTCCCACCTGCATGGACGCCGTTCTCTCATTCACCCTATTGAAAGTCGGGTCTAGCCTCAACAAAAACTAGTCTGGCGGCTTATTATTAACCCCAGGGATGCTTATAAAGAGGGAGAAAAGACGCTGTGAACATGTGTGTCATGCTGTTAATGGTAAAAGGAGGTTCGTTGGTCTAATTCAGGAGAAAATCAACGAAAATCATGAAACTAAGTTGATATCCCGAGTAATGTTGGTACGCCCAGATGATGCGTTGGTATCGGGGGGCTGGTGAAGATATTTTTGCATTTTTCTTTTTTTCTTTTTATATATCCCGAGGCAATTTATCACTCTGTGTATATATTTATTGTTGTTGTGTGAAAGATTTAGAATTCTGAATGAGTAAGGTCATTTTTTTTTCAGTTTAGGTAATTTGTCTTAGTGTACTGTATAGTGTATCGTAATATTTTTATCGTTCTATCTATCTGAGATTTTTCTTCTATGTCTGTCAGTTTTTATCCATCTCTCTCATAATCCTGCCAGTCTCTCTCACCTCTCCGTCAGTTACTGTAAGTTTATGTGTTCCAGTAACTTCTCTCGGCGTCTCTCTCTCTCTCTCTCTCTCTCTCTCTCTCTCTCAAGTCACACCATTCTAATAGTATCCTCAAAATCTTTCGATATTTATTTGAGTACACACACACACACACACACACACACACACACACACACACACACACACACATATATTTTCAGCCTTCTGGCTGCCAAGCTCTTTCAATAAACCGTTAATTATTATTATTATTATTATTACACGGTAACACTGAATGGGAACTACAGATTACAAATGAACTTATCTGATTTAAATAGGTTTGCATTATTGGTTAAAAAAATATCAAAATTGGGAATAATTGTTACAAAACACCTAATACGAAATTAAAAAGTTGAAATTTATTTGTTAGAATATTTTTAGTGACAAGGTTGAAATTGGCTCCCTATTACGTACAGTACAATGCGATGGTATGGTGTTAGGTAGATTGGGGTTGAAATTGGTTGAAAAAGTCGCCCCAGTCAATTACAATTATTATCCATGTTAATTATATGGTACTGTAAGGTTGAAACATCACCCATTAACCAATTTCGCAAAACTGTAACCAACACATATACCCTATTAGAGTCTTTCTGCTGTGTGGGGGTTAAAACTGTACTACCCAATTACACCCTATTATTTTTCCACGTGTTATGTTAAATGGGTAATTGATTTTAGTTTTGACCTAATTTGTCTTAGGAATATGAAAAAGAGAGAGAGAGAGAGAGAGAGAGCAATTCCCTATATATTCATCAGAAGCTTCTACGCCATTAGAATATTATTATTCTTTACTGAATTGTTTAGTTTCTACGTAAAATTCACTGCCTTACCTTCATTTCCCCTGTGATAAGGTGAACTTTATTAAGGTGGGTGGCGGGAACAGGCAGGTATCGTCCTCACGCTCCTGAGCTGAATGATGCTCGACTTTTTCCCGCCCTGGTTTATATACCCCCCCCGTGCCCTGCCTCCCGCCCTATGACGTGACCCCCCGTGCCATGCCTCTTCCAGCTAATGGTCCAGTCAGCTGATGGCCCTCTCACCTGTTTTCCCTCTCAGCTGTTTCCCTTTTTAGCTGATTTCCCTCTCAGATGTTTGCCCTCTCAGTTTATTTCCCTCTCACCTGATCTTCCTCCCAGGTGATCTCCCTCTCAGCTGTTTTAGTGGTTTGTAATCTCTCTCTCTCATTACCCGACAAATACTCGTGATTAATGACCAACATAATAACGTAGAATTTTACGTCACAATTGGGGTTATTTCACTTAACATCCACTTGTAGTAATCACTCAGCGCTTGAGCCAGTTATGGATGACACCAAGTCACTCGTTTTTCCTCATTTTCGTCTCGCCTTTCAAAGTTGGCCATGACTATTTACACGGAAACCGGATGTCTGCGAACGAGGTTATAAGAACGGGAAATGACGTCACGTAAACTAGCGTAAATTCAACCAATCAGTGCTTGTCCTCGACGCATGTGAACGCATCAATAGGTGTTAGTTTAATTAATAGGATCACCTGAAGATTAGTCACCCCCAGTAAATTTCACGTGATGATTAAATATTCTAACCTAACCTAACCTCCATCCTTAAAGATTTGAGCAATTCAGTACCTAAAAGTTAAGTTATTCTATACCTCTGGCCAATTCGTGAAATATTTAGGCCAATTGGGACCCCAGAATGCTTTCCCGCACTAAAGAGAGAGAGAATCGCTTACCCAACAGCATTACAAGGCGATATTCCTACAAAAACAAAAACCCAACCGTTCGTGAGCTACCTAGTTGTCTGCAGGCGGGAAGGTGTGGACTCGTTTTTATAAGAGATGCAGGGATTGACGCGGATTAATGTTGCACTGAATGATGCTGTGTTTATTTTCATTTTTATAATATTTATCTATACGTTCGTTATATTTACTTTATGTATTTTAGGTTATTAATCTTTTTTTCTTTGTTATTTTTTTGTAGTTTTTAGGAATTTTCGGGAAAGGCGGATACTTAGAGGGTAAAAAGGGTGTACTGTAATCGGTGTGTGTGTGTGTGTGTGTGTGTGTGTGTGTGTGTGTGTGTGTGTGTGTGTGTGTGTGAGCAACATTTCTCAGAAGCTTGTGCAGATAAAACTTGGCATCTGAGTAGAACTTTGACTCTGGAGGAAATGGTTTAATCTTTGAGAGCGTAGGTCGAAGGTCAAGGTCATTTGTATATGATGACCTGACCTCGTGAGGGTATATGCTGGCGAAAGTATACATATCCTGAAGTGTATATACGCCTCTTGTAGTGGTATGCGCTCGTGAAGAAATGCGCCCAGTAATAGTGTCCGATTGTTATGGTATGCGTCCGTGATGGTATGCGCGCGTGAAAGTTTGCGCCAGTGTTGGTAAGCGTATGACCCAGGTACCACTTGTGTCTTTGTTTAATGATTGTCTATTTAGTTTTGTTAAATATTATGGTTTTTGGGGGAGGCTTAAATATCTAGGACTACAGGCAAGACTCTTGAGTTTAGTGACGAACAATATAGAAAAAGGTTAGGAACGAGCATCTCCAGGTAATTGTAATGGATATAGGGCAAGTGTGTTGGGCAGAGAGAGAGAGAGAGAGAGAGAGAGAGAGAGAGAGAGAGAGAGATCCAGCCAAGCCAAGCCCATGTCTTCCCTACACATGTCTTCCCTACACATGTCTTCCCTACACATGTCTTCCCTACACATGTCTTCCCTACACATGTCTTCACTATACATATTATTCTTTCCTCGTTGGGTTAGGTTAGGTTAGGTCTGTGTTGTGTGGTAGAAACAATAGTGATGATGTTTACTGCCACCTATCCTAACCTAACCAAGGAAAGAGTGCCAGGGTGAGTGTCAAGGTGAGAGTGCCAAGGTGAGAGCGCCAAGGTGTGGGTACCAAGGTAAGAGTACCAGGGTGAGAGTGCCAAGATGAGTGCCAGGGTGAGAGTGCCAAGATAAGAGTACCAGGGTGAGAGTGCCAGGGTGAGGATACCAAGGTAAGAGTACCAGGGTGAGAGTGCCAAGATAAGAGTGCCAGGGTGAGAGTGCCAGGGTAAGAGTGTTTGTTATCCTACGTCTGGCAACTTTCACTTACTTGCCCTCTCTGGGATTCCTGTTTATCCCCTCAGGTGTGACGTAACGCTCACGACCTCACCTCCTACCTACCTATTGCTACCAGGTAATTCGTATCACCTGAATATTTGGCACCCTGAAATATATCACCTGATGATTAAATACCCGAACGCTAACCCTAACCTGATTATCTTAATCTAACCCAACCAAACCCAACCCCCAACCCAACCCAACCCACTTCAATACAGGAAAATAACACACCTTGTATTACACTCTCTGGCTCTTGTATACGCTCTCTCCTCTGTCCCACAACTCAGATAAATACAGACTTATCAAACACGTGTATGGTGTATAATAATTATTCCTAAATATACAGAAATTACAATAAAAAAACCAATAATAACAGTCGAAAAATCCCAAGAGAGGAAGAGAGGTTTAAACAGTTGGGGCAGGGAAGGGAGGGGGGGAGGTCGATATCGTTGGTGGGTTGAACAAGTTATCGTGTGGCCAGGAGGTAGAGCAATAAACTGTATTGTTGAGGTAAGGAAGAAAAAAAAAAGCAACTGGGAGATTTTATTTGGCCCCTTTATACAACATGACACAACACGGTCAGGAGGGAAAAATGGGACCTGAGGTGTAGTTTTTCTCCCACCCCCACCCCCACCACACCCCACCCCGTTCACTATTAAGTTTGAGAGAGAGAGAGAGAGAGAGAGAGAGATCCCCTAGCAGTGTGTTCTACCCTATGAATCAACTGTTATCTCAGATGTTCTTTTGTGTTTTAACCCTTCCGAACATCATTATCTATAGGTGAAAGAGAGTTAGATCCCCTAGCAATGTACATTAGCCTATGAATCAACTGTTATATCATATGTTCTTTTGTTTTTATCCTCTCTAACCTCATCATCTATAATCTCAGATGCTCTTTTGTTTTAACCCTTCCGAACCTCATCATCTATAGGAGAAAGGGAATTAGACCCTCTTACCACTGCTACCTTATACGTATCTGATGTTGTTTATATACAAGTACTCTCTTTTGTTCTTGCCACCTTCCCTTCACCTCTCGCTGCTCAAATAACCAGACATGGACGCCTCATCATCCCTCATTTGTTTTAATTATACGTCTGTGATGGGTTAAAGGAGGTGTAGATAATGGTATATGTCCTGCTTTTCGTGTGGAGAGTATAGTTGAGATGACGAGAGTAGTAGTAGTATTAATAGTATTAGTAGTAGTAGTAGTAGTAGTAGTAGTAGTAGTGAGGAAATGGTATCTTGTTGAGTTTTATATAGTTGACTGTTTTAAGGTCATATACGCTCTCTTTCATCCCCACGAGACCTGAAGCCACCACCTTTACCAACAGGCCTTCAGGGCGAGGTGTTTGTGTGTGTGTGTGTAGGTACGCCCCGTTTCCAGAGGGAGTCGTTACGCTACACTGAGCTTTGACTGTCTAGTATACGGCAGCGTTCACTTGCGCATCTAGCAGTACTTTTGTTTGTGTCCGCCATGGTTGTACTGGATAATAATCATCATGGATCACTTGAAAATACGTAATCTCAAGCTCATTTCACCTGAAGATTCGTTTTCTCAAGCTTGTTTCACTTAAAAATCCGTTTCCTCCAGCTTTTTAGACAGTTGTAATAAGTTAAGAGGGTGAATGTACAGGTGTAATAAGCTGGGGAGGAAACTTCATGTGATTTTGTTTTGTTTTGTAACCTACCACAACTAATGATCTTAAGTCACTCGTTGCGGCTCACTGCGCATGCGTACACAGACTAGATCGGCCCTAAGCGTGTCCAAAAAAAAAATATCTAGAATGTAAATTGCAATGGAACCGATTCTTCCACAAAAAAAAAGTAAAGTCAAACTCGTGTGTGTGTGTGTGTGTGTGTGTGTGTGTGTGTGTGTGTGTGTGTGTGTGTGTGTGTGTGTGTGTGTGTGTGTGTTTACTTGCATAATTAATCTCCGGGTATCAACCATATTGTAATATACGAATATAGGTCATGACTAAGCACAGGTCGGCCATTCATCTTCTCTCAGCTGTCAGATTTGCCATAGTTACCCCCCTTCACCCCTTCCCCCCCCCCATAGTCAGTCACAAAAAACGGGTCTGATCAGTTGGCGGGCCCCAGTCCAAAGGGGCCCCAAGCCTAGTGGGTCCCAGTTACATACATACAGGTCCAATAATATAGATACATTAACTTAAAGCATTATATATGAAAATTGACCTTAATTACAAGAAATCTGGATATATTTTGATATATTGTATACGACAATGAGCTGAAGTTCTCGGGCCATTGTGAGAAGAAAGTAAATCAGGCAAATAAATTATTGGGTCTTATAAGAAGGTCGTTCAGATATCTAGACGGTCCGTCCCTCGTGACGGTCTTCAGGAGTGAAGTGCTTCCTCATCTGGAGTACTGTCACCCCATCTGGTCCCCGAGATATGCTAGGGACTGTCGGTTGGTTGAAAATGTTCAAAGGAGGGCCACCAAACTGGTGCCTGCACTTCGGCACCTCAGCTACCCTGAGAGATTGGAGCGCCTGAACTTGCCTAGCTTATACTACAGACGGGCAAGGGGGGACCTAGTTGAGGTGTATAAGTATCTCAGGGGGCATTACTCAGTTGAGTGTCCTTACTTGGAACTGGCGGACGCTCGCCCCACAAGGGGTCACAGCTCAAGATTGAAGAAGCCGCAAGTCCAGAAAACCGTGAGGGCAAACTTTTTCGGAGTGAGGGTTGTAAACTCTTGGAACAATCTACCAGAGAGTGTTGTGACGGCACCGAGTGTGAGGTCTTTCAAGAGAAGACTTGACCAACACTGGAGCGGGTTCAGGTACATTCAGGAGCCGGTGCATGCCTAGTATTTGCCAACAGTGCGTGACAGAGACGTGACCGATCGCCCGGGCGACTAGCGAGCCGATCTTTTGGTGAAGAATATAAATGAAAAGAGACGTGACCGATCGCCCAAGCGGCTAACAAGCCGATCAGTGGCGAAGAGGATGAAATTAAAGTAAAAGAATAGCAGAGTCTCCCCAGTTGTATGTAGCAAGCAAGCAAGCAAGCTGGGATGATGACCTTGCTCCCTAAACAGAAATATCACAGACAGCAGGTCGAAAGAGGATTCAATTGCCCCATTAGCGGACTAATTATAGGTGAATGTAATGACATAACCTTTACCCAATCGGAGTCACGGGGGAACAAGGGCATAAGTATGAAGGTGGTGTTGATATGGAGTGAAATTTTGTTATGGGAGGAAGTAAGAGAGAGAGTGTGTGTGTGTGTGTGTGCTGATAAAAATAATAATAATAATGGCCTCTCTCTCTCTCTCTCTCTCTCTCTCTCTCTCTCTCTCTCTCTCTCTCTCTCTCCCACATAATTTTATCCATAAAATAATTGGTATCAATTTACAAGGTTATGACAGCTGACCTTCCCCCTTCACCGTGACCTTATTTAAGTACTGACCTGAAAGGTTGGTAATTCACTCAAGTGGTTCAGACTCATGAATCTTTCTCAGTGGTTCAAACTCACGAATCTCTCTCAGTGGTTCAAACTCCTGAATCTTTTCTCAATGGTTCAAATTCATGAATCTTTCTCAGTGGTTCAAACTCACGACTCTCTCTCAGTGGTTCAAACTCCTGAATCTTTCCCAGCGGTTCAAACTCATGGATCTTTCTGAGTGGTTTAAATTCATGAATATTTCTCACTGGTTCTAGCTCACGAATTTTCTCAGTGGTTCAAATTCACGAATTTTTCTCAGTGGTTCAGACTCATGAATCTCTCTCAGTGGTTCAGACTCATGAATCTCTCTCAGTGGTTCAGACTCATGAATCTTTCTCAGAGGTAAGTTTCCATGTTTACTACCACAAGCAGATGACTCCAACATGACCCTGATATAATTAAAGGCTAAATTACCCTCTCGTTTAACTCCTCACTTCCTAAATCAGGTTTGCAACAAAGTCTTCATATTATAGTTGTAATTATACCTTGATAATACGCCCTGGGTTATTGAGCCGCATAATTATGCTATTATTAAACTCTGTAATTATATTCTGTCAATTATAGCTTGTTAATATGTTCTGAGGTTATTCAGTTATAGAATAACATGTATTTTGTGGTAACGAAAATGTATAATTGAAATTGATGAGAGAATTGAGTGACCTTGTACTGATAATTGTAGAGTGATTCGCGAATTATTGGAGTAGAAATGGTTAAATGAATAACATAATTTAGTCAATTTATCATAGTAGCCAGGTTTCGATTTTTCCATAAAAATATGTTTTTCCTTCGGTTCTTGTTATGTTTCGAAAGAATCTGACCTTCGTTTCTGGTGCTAACCTAACCTAACCTAACCTAACCTAACCTAACCTAACGCAGAAAGTGTCACTGAAGAAATTCGTCTTATTTTTGTTAAGTAATGCGGTTGTAAACAGTAAAATATCGGAATTCGAAACCTGGCTACTACCCTAAATTGACCCACAATTTTAATTGAGAATGTTGTTTTGTAATAGTTATGGGGTAACAGTGCTATTGTTTATCATCCCTATTATTATTATTATTATTATTATTATTATTATTATTATTATTATTATTATTATTATTATTATTATTATATTTTACGAAAGTCATCTGAGGATTTAGTCGTTATTATGTTTTTTGTATTACAAATGCAAAAATAGTTTTAAATTATATATATTAGAGTATCGATGCATAATTATTTGTGTGTGTGTGTGTGTGTGTGTGTGTGTGAAAATTGTCATAGCAAACTCTTTCTGAGAGTTGTGAACTGTTGGAACAATCTGCCAGAGAGTGTTGTGACGGCACCGAGTGTGAGCTGTTTCAAGACCAGACTTGACCAACACTGACGCAGGTTGTGATACATGCAGGAACCAGTACATGCCCAGTACTTGCCAACAGAGCGTAACAGAGCCAGTACATGCCCAGTACTTGCCAACAGAGCGTAACAGAGCCAGTGCATGCCCAGTACTTGCCAACAGTGCGTAACAGAGCCAGTACATGCCCAGTACTTGCCAAAAGTGCGTAACAGAGAGCCAGTACATGCCAAGTACTTGCCAACAGTGCGTAACAGAGACGTGACCCCACCGCCCAAGTGGCTAACAGAGCGATCAGTGGCGAAGAGGATAAAATAATAAATAAAGTAAGAAAATAAAATTAAAAGTACATTAGTCAGTTCACTTTTCTGCAGTTAACGCTTAAAATTGAGAAAATCCTGGCACCAAAGAAAACGGTATATTGTAGGACACACTATAGAATAATGAAGAGACTGGCAATACAGTGTCTGGGTGTACTGTATGAGCTCTATGTTAGTCATAAGATTGGAGGAAACTGCAGCGGAGAATGTTTATTAAGCAGCATGAAGTGTGTTATAATGAACTGGTTAATTGCTCCTCATGTTAAAACACCAAGGGGGAAGTATGATATTTTTGAGGAAATATATACGAAAATATTATATCACTGTGAGTAGAAGAGAGTCGATGACAACTGATCTTGTAGACCATCCCAAATTCGTCCTGAGCCATGTTCGTAGATCGGAGACGGAGTGCCCAACTTAGAATCTTACTACTCTATCTCATTTTATAATAACTTATTCTTTTCCATTTAACTATTCACACCAGATGACTGAAATAAACATTACCAGAGAGAGAGAAAGAGAGAGAGAGAGAGAGAGAGAGAGAGAGAGAGAGAGAGAGAGAGAGAGAGTTATTTGTGTTCTTGGGCCTCAGTAACTTAGGTTTGTCTGGAGATACACTTGGTATATATACAGACAGATATTTATTCAGTAAACAGTACAGGTATACAAACACTGCACATAGACATTACAGGTATACAAACAGTTACAGTGCAGGTACAATAATAGGACTCGTAGCATAAGCCTCACCACTATTTTGCATTTTATTTCATTGTTACATTTTGTCACTTGGTCTCGTAACAAAAATATAGGAAGACAGAAGACTAATTCTTTTCTTTTTATTTTTTGTTCGTCGTTATAAAACTTTTGGTCACGAAGAAAAAAATGCTTAAGATTTTTTTTTGGATAATGACAAATTGAGAAAATTCTTTTACATGACTCTGAAATAACCAGATGTGCCACTGAGATTACGATGACTATTAATAATCATGTAATGGATAGTTTATGATGCCACTAATGATGTCAATTAAATCGTTTAGGCTAATTATAGCTGACGATTCTCATTATGATAATTTTGATATAATAACAGTGAAATATTTTGTGTTTCTGGTCATTATCATATTTCCGGGTCTTGTAATATAGATTTGTTTATTTATTTTGGGGTAAATTCGTTTTCTTTGGTAGATAGAATCATATGGGGTAACTTATCTAAAATGAGTGTAAAACCAAACAACTTTTAATTGGATCTATACGATTCGTTGGTTGTTGTGGCTTCTAAAATTAGTTAAGACTCGATGAATGGTGCTTCTTTAAAGACTTTGGGCCAGTAGAAGCACCTAAAACTACGCCTCAGTGAACGAATGTTCCTCTAAAGACTTCTGGCCCTGGGTGCACCTCAATATATACTCGTAACACAACAACAGCTCCTGCGGTTGTAAAATTCACATCCATCTGGTTCCCCCACAAAACACAGCCATATTTCAGTGGTATTTGGCCCCCTGCTAGATAATATTTCACTTGCATCTGCTTCCTCCCCCAACCCTTGTGTGTGTTTATTGAAAAAGTCGGCAGCCCGAAGGCTGAAAATATACATTTGACAAAAATGGCTTATTACATATAAAGACATGGGGTGGGTGGGTCGTTTAACAAAAGCTTTCGTTACTAAAAGAAGAAGGAACAATAATTGAACATACAAATTATTATAGTTTACAGTTGATGGCCCGGGCCTGGGCTGGTCATGGAGACATCGGGTGGTGTGGTGTTCACGTGGTATAGTGACTCGTCCTCGGGTGTTGATATGAAGGACCTCACGTGGTCATGGAGACACCGGGTGGTGTGGTGTTCACGTGGTATAGTGACTCGTCCTCGGAGTGTTGATATGAAGGGCCTCACGTGGTCATGGGGACACCGGGTGGTGTGGGGTGGTGTCATAGTACCTCGCCCTGCTGGGTGGTGTTGTGTTATCCCGTAGTCAGGTGCATAGCCGGCCGGCCCTCTGTTGTTCCCAGGGTGGACGGATTAACACCTCCTTGTCAGAAGATGGTGGTTAGTTCCCAGGGGTGCTTATCTCACTAGTGGGTCGCGGCTCTCACTGGTACTGTCTAGTGCTGAATTCACTGGCTTAAACAATGTTCATCACTGTTCAACACTGATCCCACTTCTTTCCGAAACGAAATTGTCACTTTGATTATGTTGATATCCCGGTGGTGAGGATGGGTCGGGGAGAGGGACTTGGGGAATGGGCCGACATTGGCCAAGGGAGGAGAGCTGCGTAGCGGGAGCAGCGCCTGAATAGGTTTTGACCCTACGGTGGTGTGTGTGTGTGTGTGTGGTAAATACTCTTTGAATTCTATTACTATGAAATTAATGATGCTCGTTTGATTCTCCCTCGTTTGCTCTCTCTTTGATGAGGGTGATAGTTTAACACTTTGATGATAGTTGAATCATCATCATCATCAACATCATTATCATCAAAAGCTTTAAACCATCGACATTAAAAAGGGTTAAACTACCACAGCGTTAACCAACAACCGGTGGCGTCACACCTGTTCACCTGGTATAAATTTTTGATTAAGGAAGGCGGAGAATGTTCAGGTGTGTTTGTACCTGCGTGAAGGGCTGACCTGGAAGGTTGGCTGAGAGATCTAGAGAAGGAAGGGAGAGAGGGAGGGAGGGGAGAAGGAAGGAAGGGGTGGGAAAGGAGGAGGGTGGGGGTGTGAGAGGGACGGATGGGGGAAGAGAGGAAGAGTTGTGGGGAGGGGGGTGAGAGAGAGAGAGAGAGAGAGAAACTATAAGCATCAGAGGACGACGAAGCTCGTCACCACACCACCACACCACCACACCTCACCCTCACCACTACACCACACACCCTCACCCACACCACACCACCACACCACACCACCACACCACACCACCACCACCACCACACCCTCACCCTCACCACTACACCACACCTCACCCACACCACACCACCACACCACACACCACACCACCACCACCACCACCACACTCACCACCACTACACCACACCTCACCCACACCACACCACACACCACACCACACCACCACACCACCACACCACCACACCACACCCTCACCACCACCACACCCACACCACCACACCACCACACCACACCACCACAATGCACTCCTGCCTCCTCCTTCCTGACGAATCACACAAAATTTAAGTTGTCCATTTGGGAGGTCGACAGAGGCTGTTGGCGCGGAAACTTTTCAATATCCCGAGTGATGGAATTCTAAAAAAAATCTCTTAAGTCGTGGTTTTGGTCGATGGGGAAGTCCTGCTCTTAAATGTCCCCGCTAGCTGAGGTTGGGGGGGGTTGAGGGGGTGAGCAGGAGGGGAGGGAGAGTTGGACTGAGTGGGGTGGGAGGGGGAGGTAGGGAGGAGAGTGGGATACAAAAGGGAGGGAGGAGAGTAGGGAGAAGAGGGGAGGGAGGAGAGGAGGAAAAAGAATGGGGTAAGAGAAGGAGGAGAGGGAGATGGGGTGATTGAAGGCGGAGGGAGGAGAGTAAGGAGGATGAGAGAAGGGGTAGAATGAAGGAGAGGGAGGAGAGGGTAAGCGGAAGGAAGTTGAGAGAGAGAGAGAGAGAGACACATTAACCATCTTCGTGATACAAACAAAACAAACCACACACACACACACAGGATCACACACACACACACATACACATACACACACACACACACACACACACACACACACACACACACACAC